ATAAGTAGATACACATATCTTTCCTCACAAACACAATCAAATATTTTGACACACACACAGTCAGTCTCTTCACATGGCTATATCAAATACGCATTTTTACACACAAAGTCATTTACATACATAAACATAGAAATATCTATTAAATCCCCCTCCCCCTTTACCCCGTCATCTTTACACACATATACGTACATGTACTGGTTCTAACACATCTGATAAATCAAGCACACACTTTCATCATTCACGACACATGTGTGTTGATCTAAGCAGCAGCAGCAGCACAGGCTTACATACTTGCCCATCAGTTCTGTGGTCTAAGGTTTAAAAACTATCAAGGTCAATTTGGGGACAAAATGGCATGAATTTCAGACTGATCCACATCATCATGAATAAGCAGGTCCTTTAAAGAATGTTGCCCTTGGCATGGCAAGCCTGAACGTCTGGACTTTCACTGACCAATTCTCCAGCACTAGATGCTTTCACAGCCACTGCAACTTCAATGTTGTGGCCACCTTTGTGAAAGCTGCAACTTCAATGTTGTGGCCACCTTTGTGAAAGCTGCAACCTCCATGTTGTGGCCACCTTTGTGAAAGCTGCAACCTCCATGTTGTGGCCACCTTTGTGAAAGCTGCAACCCCAATGTTGTGGCCACCTTTGTGAAAGCTGCAACCTCCATGTTGTGGCCACCTTTGTGAAAGCTGCAGCCTCCATGTTGTGGTGATCTTTGTGAAAGCTGCAACCTCAATGTTGTGGCCACCTTTGTGAAAGCTGCAGCCTCCATGTTGTGGCCACCTTTGTGAAAGCTGCAACCTCCATGTTGTGGCCACCTTTGTGAAAGCTGCAACCTCCATGTTGTGGCCACCTTTGTGAAAGCTGCAACCCCAATGTTGTGGCCACCTTTGTGAAAGCTGCAACCTCCATGTTGTGGCCACCTTTGTGAAAGCTGCAACCTCCATGTTGTGGCCACCTTTGTGAAAGCTGCAACCTCCATGTTGTGGCCACCTTTGTGAAAGCTGCAACCTCCATGTTGTGGCCACCTTTGTGAAAGCAGCAACTTCCATGTTGTGGCCACCTTTGTGAAAGCTGCAACTTCAATGTTGTGGCCACCTTTGTGAAAGCTGCAACTTCAATGTTGTGGCCACCTTTGTGAAAGCTGCAACCCCAATGTTGTGGCCACCTTTGTGAAAGCTGCAACCTCAATGTTGAGGCCACCTGTGTGAAAGCTGCAACCTCCATGTTGTGGCCACCTTTGTGAAAGCTGCAACCCCAATGTTGTGGCCACCTTTGTGAAAGCTGCAACCTCAATGTTGTGGCCACCTTTGTGAAAGCTGCAACCTCCATGTTGTGGCCACCTTTGTGAAAGCTGCAACCTCCATGTTGTGGCCACCTTTGTGAAAGCTGCAACCTCCATGTTGTGGCCACCTTTGTGAAAGCTGCAACCTCCATGTTGTGGCCACCTTTGTGAAAGCTGCAACCTCCATGTTGTGGCCACCTTTGTGAAAGCTGCAACCTCCATGTTGTGGCCACCTTTGTGAAAGCTGCAACCTCCATGTTGTGGCCACCTTTGTGAAAGCTGCAACTTCCATGTTGTGGCCACCTTTGTGAAAGCTGCAACCTCCATGATTGCTCTCTATAGACCACCATGGCTCTTGACATGTCCAGAATAGCTGAGCTTTCAGCACAGAGATGCTGTTTATGAGCCAGTTCTCCTTGATGATCAGATCATAGTTTTTTTTTTTAATTCTAACAATTTTCTGTATTTGAGGTTAAAAACCTTACATTTTACTCATCTGTGATTGAGTAAGAATCAAAGACTGACATCCATAAGTTGCATGATCTTGAAACTCTTTTTTTTTACATTGACAGGAATCTTATGTTAATCTATTCTAAAAATGACATGGATCTTAGGTTGTTCCAGCCTAAAAAATGACATAGATCTCATGCTGATCGTATCTAAAAATGACATGGATCTTAGGTTGTTCCAGCCTAAAAAATGACATGGATCTTAGATTGTTCCAGCCTAAAAAATGACATGGATCTTAGATTGTTCCAGCCTAAAAAATGACATGGATCTTAGATTGTTCCAGCCTAAAAAATGAGTACAAGAAAATGTTTTAAGAGGCAACAGTAACCTACATGAGATTAATGACAACAGAGGTCAAGTACCACTTGGTCTAAAACATGGCGTTGGCAGCATTTGCCTCTTATTCCTCCCAGCTGGATGCATTTTTTCTTCTACCCCTTATTGCACCAGTGGAGCATAGGCCCTCAAAAAACTCATATTATGTTGTCTTATCCTTTGCTATTACATACAGCTTCCCTAACCATCTCCTTGACACAGGCAAATTTACTGACCACTCTACCATGGTGACTCCTGTCTAGATACTTACATAATTCAAGTCCCGACAGGTGTAGTTCCGAGCTATTGTTGTGTCATGCAGATACTCATGGATCCTCTCTGGGCCAACCATCCTGGCAGCAATTTCCTCAGGAGCCAGGGGATTCATCTCCGTATCTGTGTCTTCACTGTCTCCGTTCTGCTGGCTGTGAATGATGTCTGAGAATGTGATGATGTAGTTGATGCCATGCTCTTTGACCAGAGCCGGTGGCAGAGGCACCCGGTCAGACACAATGTAGCTGTCGACCTGGGACAGTCATTACAATTGGGTTATTAATGAATCTTTACAATTACCTTCCTGTCTGAAGATGGAAAGATGGAAAGAAACGTGTGTAGGGTTGCTGTGTAGCTGTTAACTTGTGACAATCATGGGGAAATGTAAGAAACAGAGGAAATGACACTGATAAACTACCTGTCTGAATGTTCAAGGTGTAAAGAAAAACTCCTAATACTTGACAACCCAACAGCAGTATCTGTTATGGGATTACATATACTTTCTTTATTCTATGTCCCTCTTCTTCTTCATTATCTGTTTTACTGTTCCAGGTACTGAGGGAGAAATCAGTTTCGGCTTCTTGATGTTTTGGCCGAATACCATTTGATGACTGCATTTATATCTCATCATATTCTTTTCACCATTGCTGGCTTGCTAGGCATCACAACTTCACCAGAACCCAGTTGGCCATGATGTCTCGGGTTGACCTCCATGGGGACCATAGGAGTGCTGTGGCATGAGGCACACTATACTTTGCCTAATCCTCCTTATGACAATGCTACTAGTAAAGGTTGAGTATACATTATGCACAAGAGGCACAGCTTATTCAAGTGTGATAAACACAAAGTCATACAGACTTGCAATATGTTCTTGTAGTCCAGGCCATGTAGATTGGTCATTGTCTTGTCAACAATCTTATGTCTCATGTAAACTCAAGTGTCTTTTCAACTGTCTCAAAAACATCATTGTATTGTTATTGTGGACCCTTTTATGGATTTACATATGGCAGAAATAGAATATAGCGTATATAATACCAGAAGTTTCACCTTAATCACTTTATTACATTTAAAAGTTTGTCAGTTTTCAGACTGATAAACAGAGGCTTAATCTGACAAATCGCCTCTCGCATTGCCACACAGTAAAAGTGTAAGCCTGTCCTTCACTGGTATCTGGTCATGCTGTGACTTCTCCTCTTGGGCTACATACAGGGATAGGTGCTTGCTATTTGTTTCCCAAAAAATAGCCTGTGTCATCATCATTAAAAAAGTGATGTGGTAGATATATAACCTTCAGAGTTTATATAGTTTGCTAATTCCTCCAGCCTGCTGCTGTTTTTTTTTTACTGAACCTGCTGTCTCTATAAGCTTAACAACAATGTGAATTCTAGTTGGTCGACAAACATTCTGGGACTAGTTTCTGTGTGCTTTAAATTGGTCAACACTAACATCACTTGTTTTCTTTTAGGGATCATTTCTAATCAGTCACATGTAATCAGCAGTTTAGCTAATGAATCATCATGCAAAAGTAAAGCCATCTCGCATTTGAGGGCCTTGCTAACAATATCTCCAGCAAGCAGCTTTCACTAATCCAAAGTGATAATAATTATGTGACTTTTGACACATGAGACCTTTGCTTTGTTAACATAGTCACACCTTTAGCCGTTAAAATAGTCATACCTTTAGCCAGTAACATAGTCACACCTTTAGCCATTAACATTGTCACACCTTTAGCCGTTAACATTGTCACACCTTTAGCCGTTAACATAGTCACAGCTTTAGACATTAACATAGTCACTACTTTAGCCATTAACAGTCACACCTTTAGCCGTTAACATAGTCACACCTTTAGCCATTAACATAGTCACACCTTTAGCCGTTAACATAGTCACACCTTTAGCCATTAAAATAGTCAGACCTTTAGCCATTAACATCGTCACAACTTTAGCCATTAACACAGTCACACCTTTAGCCATTAACATAGTCACACCTTTAGCCGTTAACATAGTCACACCTTTAGCCATTAAAATAGTCAGACCTTTAGCCATTAACATCGTCACAACTTTAGCCATTAACACAGTCACACCTTTAGCCATTAACATAGTCACACCTTTAGCCACATCCGCCATCTTTAGTGCAGCTCTGTTTTTTTTTTTTTTAGATAGGACACAATGCAGATGTAGCCATGTTGTACTGCTTGAAAAGATCAGAAACACCAGCACCATTCTCATCATCATCCTCATTATTTCCTTCTTCATTTATACTTAGTAGGAATAGGTTTCCTCAAACCACTGTAATACTTTCCTCTTTCTTGGGAGCCACATTGAAGGTTAATTTAATGCAAACAGGAAAAAAAAAACAAAGCAAAAAAAAAAAAAAAAAAACAATGCTCACAGCATGCCAACCTGAGTGCAAATGATACTTTAGGCAAGTAGAAAACATGGCTTGTTCATTCGTGTGCCAAGGCATTTTACACAGGTCCAGTCAAACTTTGGAAGTTGTGTTTGTTGGCCAATTTGTTTGTGACTAGAGGCATTCGTAATGCAATGTACTACTGTAGTACTACAAAATTACAATAACACACACAAGCTAAGAGTAGAAAACAGACACACACCTCAAGTTGTGTAGAGTGCTTTCCCTCTAACCCAGACAACCATTTCTGAGCAGACTTCACCCAATAGGATTTGAGATTATCCTGAGTCATCTCCATCAGCGATCTGATTGGCTGCACATCAAAATCAAAATGAAATCAATTAAAATCAACATTTAATGGATATTTCTGGGTTTTTTTTTTTTTTCAAGTGAAATGTTGACGATCATGACAACAGTCAATATCTTTATTAATATTTTTTTGTAGCAAGTTTTTTTTGTAGCAAGTTTTTTTTGTAGCAAGTTTTTTTGTAGCAAGTAATTTAAAAAACTTCCCTTTCACTCGAACACCACTGGATTCTCCAACAGTTACATAAGTATTGCCAGTTTTTGCTGTCATCATTCTTTGATTCTATATGGGTTATATTTTTGTTACCTGGTTCCTGTCAGGGCCCGAATGAACTTTTCCTGGGTAAAATCAGGCATTCATCCATGTGTCTGTAAACAAGGAGGGTTCTTGTGAATGGGTATGTTTGTTCTACACCAGCTAGATATGACAGAGGCCATATATATGAGTTGTTAGCATCTCCAGCTGAGGTATGAATGCGCTTTACAATTCTGAAATTTCAGGGTCGATTTAAGCTGCAGGTGATTTGGTAGCAGATTTTGGCAATGGTATGGAGCACTGACCCTTTAGAAAGCAAAGGCAAACTACTGGATATAAAAATTGCCTAATAAAAAACAAACACTCTAAAAATGTTGGGGTTGGTACAGCAATGCTTTTGAAAGGTTAAGTAATGAACTTTTTATACAAATGAAATGTGCTGAGATGTTCGTTAACATTTAATTATGAAAGCTCTATTATTATTAATATTGTTAAACAAACCAAAAATCATTGAAAACACTCAGTTTTGACTCTCAAGTTGAATTTAATGGTATTGAGGTTGTCTAAAAGCTGGCAAGAACTGGTAGTCTCTAAGACTGAGGGATGTGTGAGGTCTTCACTCCTGGTCTGCGAGCAGTCCCAACCACCTACCACGGAAGACTCTTAAGATGTCCTTCCTCTCTTCAAGCCCAGACAAGAGTGAGGTATACAAGACAGACTTGAAACTTCACACCTGCCGAGTGCTTCAATGTGATATAACCAGGCCGTTTCAAAACGCAGAATACATTAAAGGGAAAGCACTCAGCAGCTTCAAATGATTTTAAAATATTGAGTTACGTTCCTTGTATTTAATTCATCATGAGTGATTATTTTAACTTTACACTGATACATATTTCTATTGTCTTGATTTAGTTTATTCTGTGCTAGTTTTACAGCTGTGTGACTTTGCTGTGTTGTGGTTTGCTGAAGAAGATCTGAGACCGTACTTTAAAAAAAAAATGTTTTAAAATAGCTTACATTGCTAAAACTAAATTATCTCCCTCACGGAAATCCACATAAAAAGTCAACATCAGTGATTTAACAAGATCTGTTCATTTCGTCCTTCTTAGGACGTTATTTTTTGTTATTTGAAGCCCCACTCTGGCTTTTGCCAGGGGCCGCAATATAGGCAGGTCATCATTATGGCCAAATGTCTGAACGCGGTTTCTGGGACCTCTCCACGGTGATCCTCATCCGCATGGTGGCACTTTGTGTCATCGGGTGTTTATCGCTTGTGTGATGTCCTGGTGGGGTAAAAAATTCAATTCAATTCAATCTTTTCAAATGTATTAATCGTCATCACCTTGTGGGGTGCAATTTTTCGATATTTTGAAGCCCCATCCTGACTCTTTCCAGGGGCCGCAATATAACCCAGCCATAAATATGGTCTAATAGCTAAACACGGTTTCCAGGACCTATCCACGGTGATCCTCATCCGCATGGTGGCACTTTGTGTCATCGAGTGTTTATCGCTTTTATGATGTCCTAGTGGGGTAAAACCTACTACTACTACTTTTCGAATGCAGTTTTAACAGAAGCAGATTCCAGAAATCTTGTTGAATCGCATAAAACAAATATACTGAGAAAGTTACTGTTATTAAGTGATTGAAAATCCAATGTGTTGTAATGCGCTACATAAGATAAAGAAGAAAATGATTATAAACTTATTCACATGTCTTCAATCAACATAACAAATAATTACTACAGGTGTACAGTCCGTCCCAGAAGTTGTGCCCAACTTTAAAATCTGTGACTTAGTAAATGGTCGGTGTCGGCGAAATTTGTCATGTAACCTGTTGATAATCACGACCTTGTAAGAAACTGTTAAATGTTAGCGAATATCTAGTTTTTATTTTGCTTCATTAGCAGACTATATAAAACAGAGGCTGATTCAAGGAAAACTATCAACATACTTACAGTTTACTGAGTCAAGGGAACATTTCAAACAATCAAATTGCATGAGTTTATTGGTGTTTCGCTCTTTGTTGGTCATCTCCAACATTAGCCTCTTATGAATGAAATGTTTCATTGTATGTAGGAAAGGCTGTTAAAATAATCAACATGCATCGCTGTACATGTGGACTGATTTTCAAACAATCTACCTGCGTGTGTCAATAACTGCACATCCTGTTTTTTTTTTTTTTTAGGTGTACTTAAATCACTAGTCAAACAAAGATCAAAGAAATTCACCGCTTAGAAAACAGCAGCACCTGTGCAATTGTAAAAGATAAAATCAGAAGGACATGGGAAATCTAGGGCCACTTGCAATAATTCATGTTGATCATACAGGAGTTTTTGAGATATTAGTTAAAGTGTGAGGTAACAACTTTTGAAATGAACTATAGATATGTAGTCACCTCAGTTACATTAACTGCATGTTCAAAAGTTGCCCTGAACACGTCCCCTGCAACATCAGCAACATCCTGTGGCTGCTTCAAGACTTTGGCAACAAACATGGCCATCATGTTGGAAGCCGTAGTCATGACAACAGTCTTGTCCACTTGGGCTTCTATGTCCAGGTTGTGCAGGTGGGGCGGCAGGTCGCCCAGGATAAAGGCATCATGATTAGCTCCCTCTAGCAGGACCACTGGGCTGTGAGTGATAAGGCTGGGCTGACCTTCGTGGGCTGCCATCACAGACCTGGGGGAAATTATCCAGGAACAAATATTTGCCTTCTCTAAATCAGGCGGGTATTATGTAACTGACTTTACAAAAACACAAACATGACATTTATAAAAAGTAACTGTCAAGAGTGACACGGAGACACAACAAGCAATGAACGTGTTCTTCTTAACTCACCATGTTTCTTCTTTTTCTTTTTGTGAGGATAAACTTCACTGCACTGGGTGTTATCCAGTAAGGATTAGTCTCTCTGTCTATTTCTACAGAAGGATTAGCCTTCAGAAGACAGCTTCATGCAAAGCACAAACTCCATAACTCCGGCGACGATCCTAGGGATCTCCATAGAAATTGGGAGGGGAACCGAACGAAACCGCACGGAAATGAAACCACGACCTTCAGAAAGCCATGCAAACGGTTTGAATGCTTGGCCACGGCGTCCACCCCAGCAGCAACATTTTGACAGAGCCGTGCTGACATGCACGAATATACAATACCATTGATGTCGCGGGTTGTATATTCCACCACGTCAGTGCTTTTAACGCTCCAAAAACATGTAGGACTGGCCCTAACACAAACCCTCCTAGGAGTGTGCTGCAACCTATGTCACATTCTCTTTCTCAGAATGAAAACGTAAATGGAAGACAACGCAGAAAGCTTTTCGAGCAAACAGTACATCGGGATACCCACGCAATCTTCAGCAAAGTTGACGAGCCCAACAAAGTATGAATGAAAAGTGACATAGTGCGTTAATAGGTGGAGCGACCCATATTGGAGAGATTTGGGTAATGCTTACCTATAATATAATGTAATATAACATAACATAATATATAATATAATATAATATAATATAATATAATATAATATAATATAATATAATATAATATAATATAATATAATATAATATAATATAATATAATATAATATAATATAATATAATATAATACAGTAAAATATAATATATAACATAATATAATATATAACAAAATATAATTTATTTTATAACACAATACAAGGCAATATAATATATAAACGAACCCAGAAACGCATACAGACGTACTGACACATTCTACAGCAACAATGGAGCCACCTACCCTAACATTTGAGCCACTCTTGTGATCCTAACGACCCCATCAAGTTCTCCGACTAGAGTCAACACTGGAAGCGGGAACAGGTCAAGGCTGAATCGTTTGGGCAGGAATGTGCCCAGGAGAATGAGTCCACGTAATGTTGAAGGCACCGCCTGGGCGTAGTCTGCCGTCACATGACCTAGCGGGAGCAGATACAAGATTGATGGTGAGAAGTCTGAACTCGGTACACCGCCCACAGACACAATCCGAGTGCTGGAAAAACGTGAGCATTGATGGCTGAGCTATCAACTGTCGTAGTTTTCACTGTCCCGCCTTCGTGTTTTTACATCGTTGGTTGATTTTTGTTTTTGTTTTTGGGTACAAAAAATGAAGACTATACAAGTGCCCCTGTTGTGATAACTGACGAAGCTTGTCCACCAGACGGTCTTGGGTTCAAATCTGCATCGAGTCGGGACATTTTGTCGGAACTGACCTAGGCTTTCAGGTCGTACCAGGCCTTCAATGGGTGATAGGCAATGGTCAGGAATGCGTAGGCGGCAGGCGTCATGTTGATCACATCAACCATCGAGAAGATCGGTCTCTAAACAAAACGAGTCTGGCATCATATTCTGATTCGTCGCTGGTGTTAAAAGGCTCTTTTCTTTAAAAGAAAAATGCCACAATAATACATGAAGACATGTGATTAAAGAATTTAAAACTGGGCTACATAAGTTACACAGCAGTGATCTTCAACTTTTGTAGGTTCACCCCCTCTCCTCACCACTGCCCTTAAATATATGGCAAGGGACCTCTCCCTCCCCCATCCACACACATACACAAATATACACAAACACACACACATACGCAAATACACACACATGCACACTCACACACACGTAAACATAACAAAAACGTGATTGAAAAGGTGAAGGATCCAATAAACAGTCCCAGGTACTGTCAACAAAAAGTTGCAGAAAAACAGACAAATAATTCAAAGTATCCAATAAACAAAAATAAACAATCACCATCAACTAGAAATGTAGGGCCCAAATATCAGTGTGATGAGTGACACTATTTTGTCTCGATGCTATCTGCTATTTGAGGACATGTTGAACAGGGAGATCACTCTCCAAAACAAGCTAGCATGTCCGTGAACATAAGTTGGTTGACAACACTGCGTAGATGGACACGATTTTAGGGTAATTACGTACATCAGACAGGCTCTCACGTACATCAGACAGGCTCTTACGTACATCAGACAGGCTCTTACGTACATCAGACAGGCTCTTACGTACATCAGACAGGCTCTCATGTGCATCAGACAGTCTCTCACGTACACCAGACAAGCTCTTACGTACATCAGACAGGATCTCACGTACATCAGACAGGCTCTTACGTACATCAGACAGGTTCTCACGTACATCAGACAGGCTCTTACGTACATCAGACAGGCTCTTACGTACATCAGACAGGCTCTTACGTACATCAGACAGGCTCTCATGTGCATCAGACAGTCTCTCACGTACACCAGACAAGCTCTTACGTACATCAGACAGGATCTCACGTACATCAGACAGGCTCTTACGTACATCAGACAGGTTCTCACGTACATCAGACAGGCTCTTAAGTACATCAGACATGCTCTTACGTACACCAGACAGGATCTTACGTACATCAGACAGGATCTTACGTATATCAGACAGGCTCTTACGTATATCAGACAGGCTCTTAAGTACATCGGACAGGTTCTCAGGTACATCAGACAGGCTCTTATGTACATTAGACAGGCTCTTAAGTACATCAGACATGCTCTTACGTACACCAGACAGGCTCTTAAGTACATCAGACATGCTCTTACGTACACCAGACAGGATCTTACGTACATCAGACAGGATCTTACGTATATCAGACATGCTCTTACGTACATCAGACATGCTCTTACGTACACCAGACAGGCTCTTACGTACACCAGACAAACTCTTATGTACACCAGACAGGATCTTACGTATACCAGGCGGGATCTTACGTACATCAGACAGGCTCTTACGTATATCAGACAGGCTCTTAAGTACATCGGACAGGTTCTCAGGTACATCAGACAGGCTCTTACGTACACCAGACAGGATCTTACGTACATCAGACAGGCTCTTATGTATATCAGACAGGCTCCTACGTACATCAGACAGGCTCTCACGTACATCAAGCAGGCTCTTACTTACATCAGACAGGCTCTTACGTACATCAGACATGCTCTTACGTACACCAGACAGGCTCTTAAGTACATCAGACATGCTCTTACGTACATCAGACATGCTCTTACGTACACCAGACAGGCTCTTACGTACACCAGACAGGCTCTCACGTACATCAGACAGGCTCTTACGTACATCAGACAGGATCTTACGTACACCAGACAGGCTCTTACGTACACCAGACATGCTCTCACGTACATCAGACAGGATCTCACGTACATCAGACAGGATCTTACGTACATCAGACAGGCTCTTACGTACATCAGACAGGCTCTTACGTACATCAGACAGGCTCTTACGAACATCAGACAGGCTCTTACGTACATCAGACAGGCTCTTACGTATATCAGACAGGTTCTCACGTACATCAGACAGGTTCTTACGTACATCAGACAGGCTCTTACGTACATCAGACAGGCTCTTACGTACATCAGACAGGCTCTTACGTATATCAGACAGGTTCTCACGTACATCAGACAGGTTCTTACGTACATCAGACAGGCTCTTACGTACATCAGACAGGCTCTTACGTACACCAGACAGGCTCTTACGTACACCAGGCAGGCTCTTACGAACACCAGACAGGCTCTTACGTACATCAGACAGGCTCTTACGTACATCAGACAGGATCTTACGTACATCAGACAGGATATTACGTATATCAGACAGGTTCTTACGTACATCAGACAGGATCTTACGTACATCAGACAGGATCTTACGTACATCAGACAGGCTCTTACGTACATCAGACAGGATCTTACGTACATCAGACAGGATCTTACGTATATCAGACAGGTTCTCACGTACATCAGACAGGTTCTTACGTACATCAGACAGGCTCTTACGTACATCAGACAGGATCTTACGTACATCAGACAGGATCTTACGTACATCAGACAGGCTCTCACGTACATCAGACAGGCTCTCACGTACATCAGACAGGATCTTACGTATATCAGACAGGATCTTACGTACATCAGACAGGATCTTACGTACATCAGACAGGCTCTCACGTACATCAGACAGGCTCTTACGTACATCAGACAGGCTCTTACGTACATCAGACAGGCTCTTACGTACATCAGACAGGATCTTACGTACATCAGACAGGCTCTCACGTACATCAGACAGGATCTTACGTACATCAGACAGGCTCTTACGTACATCAGACAGGATCTTACGTATATCAGACAGGTTCTATACATACATATTGATGGTCTGATTAGTTCACACTGTGAAACAAACATACACAAAAATTATGTGCCGGATCCGGTTGTTCTTCGTAATTATGTATTTTCTTTCAACGTTGGGGCATTTTATAACACCATCCTTTAATATAGTTCCCTCGTGTTGTAGAGACCCCCACCCCCCCCCCTTTAACCATAGAATGATTTTCGTTGTGACCCCCAACCATAGAATGATTTTCGTTGTGACCCCCCAACCATAGAATGATTTTCGTTGTGACCCCCCAACCATAGAATGATTTTCGTTGTGACCCCCCAACTATTGAATGATTTTCGTTGTGACCCCCCCAACCATAGAATGATTTTCGTTGTGACCCCCCAACCATAGAATGATTTTCGTTGCTACTTTATAACTTCCATGAATATGTGCTTTCCGATGGTCTTTGGCGACCCCTGTGAAAGGGTCGTTCGGCCCACAACAGGGTCGGGACCCACCGGTTGAAAATCGCTAATCTAACGAGATCTGTCGAAGATAAACCAAGCAAGTAATCAGGTGCCGTCTCCACAGTAAAAGTTGGCTGCAGTGGATCTAATACGAAATAATCTTTCGTCGAGGATTTGCCCTCTCTCAACTGCTGTTCACTAACCTCTTGATATTACCCTCCCACTTGTATCGCTGTCTGCACATTTGTCACTGACTCTTTTTCCCCCTTTCAGCAAACCTCTGTAATTCCTAGTCTCTTTAAAACCCGTGTATCTGATTGTTCACCCCCTTTCCCCTTTCCCATGACACACGACTTAATCTTCCATTTACCCACATCTCCAGAGACAAAACGAGTTTGTAATTGCCTATTCACGGCTAAGTCTATGCAATATACAGACGGGTTGAAGAAACATATCACTTAGCAACACTCGTTGTTTCATTTGTTATTTATTTCGTTAAATGTCAGTAATTTCTGCATGCTGTTGAATACTTTTAGATAAATCCAGGGTCAGAGTGGAAAGAATACTTGAGCCTCCATATGGCGTATCTCTCTTCCTAACAATGTCGGCTGCCTGCTTAATTACTCACAAAAAGCAGGAACTCCATAGCTCAAGCGACAATTCATATAATGTCGTTAACAAATACTTTCGTGAACCGAATGACGCAGTCAGAAACCGAACCTACGACATTCACAGAGTAAAATAACCGGCCAAACTACTTTGCCACCCTTGGCTGGTTGATCTAGTCTGTGAAGCAGTGTTTCCAAAAAGACGCATTTCATAAATATCTCACAAATACTCAACAATTCACGGCATCAGTGCCTGCTTTGCTGACTGATTTATGAGTTTTTTTATGAATACACTTTACACAGCACGACAAACATTAAATCGGTGCATATTGGAGATTGCAGTTCCTCTAACACTCTTTCTATTTGACTGAAAATAGCACGCAGCCATTAAAGAAACAAACCTTTCTTGTGGAAATTGTCCCAGCGCAAGATTGCCTTGGCGGCAACACTCATTTCATTACCGTGAATATCTCTCCCAAGTCAACAGTCAAGATTATGTTGGTGACGTCAAGAATGGCACATTATTTGGCAGAAAAGTAGCCGGAGCTAATCTCGCTAGCAACATTCTGATTGTTCACAATAGTTTCTTCCCTTGAGGATAGCAGTCTGCAGTATTTATCTCAATGAGAACCAAACGGGTACCATTCCCGGAAACACTGCTGTCTGTGATTTATCCCCGCCAGGATTGTACAACGAGCGACCAACACCAGG